CGCCTCCCTTCCCGGCCCACGGCCAAAGCCGCCCGCAGCAGCGCGCCGCCCGCGCCAGCCCACCTCGCCTCGGCCCAGCCCAGCCCCGCGCGCTGGCTCCTTCTCCCGCGCGCCGCGCCCGTTACCGCGCCACGCTCCCGACCGCGTCAGGCGACGCCCGCCGCGTGGCCGCCACGCGCCGTGGCCGGCCTGACGCCGTTGCTCGCTGGCAAACGCTTGAAGGCCGTGCCCGCTTGCCATTCCGCTCGTCCTCGCCCTCTATTTCTTTCTCTCGCGCGCGCTGGAGCCACCGAGAAAAGCCGCCGCCGTGCCATTGCTCCGCCGAGCCCGTGCACCCTCGCCATTGCCTCACTTCTCACTCCAGCTAGTCCGCGACTCCATTGTTGTCATCTGGAGCTCTTCCACCTCGCCACCGAGCCGGAGAGTCAAGGTAGGCGCCTTTTCTTCTTCTTCTCCGCCGCGGGTCACCATTGCCGCCGGAGTCAAGGCTGTGCTCGCCGTGGCCGACCACCATCAGAGCTCTATCCCTCCTTCCTCTACCTTTCCTCAGTTTCCCTGTGTCACCTTGATGCTCACGCCAAGCTCAGATCGGGCCGCTAGGGCCGGAGTTGGCCGGCGTACCTCGCGCAGCGCCGCCGCGACCGCCATTGCCGCCGGCGACCTCATCCGCTATAGCTAGGGGGTCTATTTTATACTTCCATCAGTGCAGGGCAGCGTGCTGTGCACGTTGGTGCCACTCCCTTCGCCGGACTGCTCGCCGTCGTTGAGCGGTGGCCGGTCAACCGGTCTCCCCTACCTCCGGTCGGCTGACCAGTGGGGCCGGTTGACTCGCCGGGTCCCGCCTGTCTGTCTCTCTGGCACGGGTTTTGGGTGGATAACCGGGTGGATCTAGCAGATTTGAGCATGAAGTTTAAAAGTATTTCAAAAATGATTTTTCAGAATCCTATTTAAATGCTTTAGAAAATGTTTGTGTACTCCTTTTTGCTCCAAATTTGTTGAAACAAATTTTGCTAGATTCCTTATCAGCAGATCTACTTGGGAAAATTATTGCATGTCATTTTTGAGATACTTTTCTGTAGAATTTTATTTAATCATGAATATTGCTGATAACTTGAAAAATTTGTAGAAAAATCTATAGGTTTCAGAAAAATATGATTCCAAGTTTGTTAATCTTCTTATGTCATGTACTTCCTAGAAAAAATATGTTTCATGCATGTGCTGTGGGAAAATTTTGAGGTGTAGTTCAAGTACCTTTAATGGCTAATTTTTGTTATTTTTGTTAGAAAGCAAACTTTGTATAAAACATGCATGTGATAAATTTTGTACAGTCATTGTATGCTATGTAGAACATAGGAAAAATTCTAATTCTGTTGTTTGACACTTTTCACAGTACAAAGTATTTTCATGTTCATGATCATGCCATAGCTTGTCATTTTTGTGTAGACTATTTTACTTATCCAAATGCCATGAAAATTTTATGGTAGTCTACTTAGAGTAGTACTATGCTACTGTAATTTTCTTAGATTTTTATAAGCACCAGAAATATAGGTTGCTGTTGTAGCCCTAGTTTCAAATGAAATAAAATAATCCTCTTTAATGTAAGTTAGTTAATAATGTTATCTTTGGTGTATCTTTGAAGCATTTAATAAGATGTGTTGACTTAACCTATTAGTAGTAGAAGAGAATGCAGTAGATGACATGTGCTTGTGGTATATTTTCTTGGATGATGTGACTACCTTGCATTCGAACATATCCATTGTATTCATCTCATCCGATGCACCGATTGCATAGGCACTTACACGCATTGCATCATACATAATCGCAAACCGAGAACCCAGTCGTCATTCCCGAGGAGCCCGAGGAGCAGTTCGAGGTGTAGCCGCAGGAAGTGCCAGAAGGCGACGAGGAGGACGTTGAGGAACTTCCGGAGTGCCCCGATCACCATCCAAGCTCCTTCGAGAGAGGCAAGCCCCGGAGCATCTTTCTCCCGGTTTGCAATGATTTCATTAAATGCTTTACTTTAAATTGATGCATTACGTTCAGGAGTTGTTTGCAACCGTTGCTGCATTATACCTTGTTTACCTTTGTTATACTATATCCTTGTTACCCTGGTATCCGCAGTCGAGTCAATGCTTAGCTGGCTTAGACCTGTAGTAGTCGGGTGATTTCCTGTCACCTGCGAGCTATAGGTGGTTACCTGGATCTGCTTGGATGGCTATGAAGTCATGGTATAACTAAGTGTTAAATGAAGTTGAGACCGGACGGAGACTTGCAGAGTTTTAGACTGTAGTGTTTCCGTCTGTGTCGATTAAGGACCGACCGTTGTTGGGCCTCGAGTCATGTTGAACGCATGCCTTACATTTAGCTGGCCGGATAAAGTACCTTCCGACCGCGAAGCTGGGAGATTTTTCGGGCCGAGTAGATTGCCCGCAGCGCACTGTGCAGAAGCAGGTGTGGTAGGACACGGGGGCGGGATGATAAGACCAAAGTGCAGTCGGTCGGCCCCCGGGTACATGTGGTTCCTGGCAAACTCGAGATACCTGGAAAGTTGACTCGGTGATCAATATCTCACTTTAGCGGGTGAGTGAGGTTTGTGTAAGGAATAAATCACCAGCTGGTTAGGAATCGATTCGAATCGCCATCGCTCCTGGATAGTGAGCACTTGACTTGAGTGACTTCATCGTAGTAAATGTTTATGGAACACTTGGACAGTTATAGTGAATATGACAGTATGAAAGTTGTTTAATGATCAGTGGTTATCATTAATTGCTTAATCACATGTTTACTCTAGTATAGATGCAAATCTAGTCGATAGGTTAATAATAATTAAGTTGACAATAACGCTTTTAGAAAAGTTCTTGAAATGCTTCTTTTGCAAATGAGTCAGCTACCCTACTATAAAGCCTTCATAATCCTTGGTGTCATTTATTTTCGGTTATGTCGGGTAAGTCTAGCTGAGTACCTTCTCGTACTCAGGGTTTTATTCCCACTTGTTGCAGATGAGCAGATGTATTACGGTTATTGTATCAACTGCCTTTATCCTGCGATGGGTGATGCTTAGGACCATGGGCATGGTCATTCCTTACGTCTCGTCTAATGCTTTTGTTGGAGATGATCATTCGCTGGCACTATATTTGAACTCCGCGTGAGTGTGTGTGGTTTGAACAAATGGCTTCTGCTACTTTTATTCGAACTGGTTTTGTAATAACTATGTTTAAACTCTGATGTATCTGAGATTGCGAACTTTTATGTAATATGTGATGGTGACCGCTAAAATTATTACGATCTTGGCTGGAATGGAAGTTGGTTTGAAATCCTTCGTGATTTCACGGACTACCGGGTTATACGGGCTTAAGTTTGCTCAATCGTCTGCTCTGGCGGATGATTTTCTTACTTAATTTCGTATAATTGGTCGGTTCTGTTACAGGCCCTACACCCCAGATGATGATTAGTGCCGCGGTTCGTGCTCAGTTAGACTCTCTCGTGGTCAATGACCAAGGAGATCGTTTTCTAGGATATGGTGCACAACATGCATGGACTCACAAGTCGTGCTTGTGGAACCTCCCCTATTTTGATGACCTTCTACTTTCACATAACATTGATGTAATGCACACTAAAAAGAATATCGCCGAGGCAAATTTTGGTCAAATCATGGACATTCCTGATAAGACAAAGGATAATGTTAAGGCTAGAGTGGATCAAGCGAGGTTATGCAATAGACCAAAGCTAGACATGGCGCCTCCCGGAGGCGGGAAGTCATGGAGAAAGCATAAGGCCAATTTGGTTCTGACGAGGGCCCAAAGGAGGGAAGTACTAGAATTGTTCCAAACGTTAATGTTCCCTGATGGGTATGCAGTGAATCTGAATAGGGGAGTGAATTAGCTACTTTACGAATCAACAGGTTCAAGAGTCATGACTACCACATATGGCTTGAGCGTCTACTACCGGTGATGGTTTGAGGCTATGTCCCTGAGCATGTCTGGATAATGCTGGCAGAGTTGAGCAATTTCTTCCGCTAGCTTTGTGCTAAGGAGTTATCTTGTACCGTGGTTGTAGACATGGAAAGAATGGCACATGTGTTGCTCTGCGGGTTGAAGAAGATCTTTCCATCTGGCTTCTTCAATCCGATGCAGCATTTGATTTTGCACCTCCCGTATGAGGCACGAATGGGGGGCCCGTATAGGGCCGTTGGTGCTATTCAATTGAGAGATTTCAAAAGGTTCTTCGAACTAAATGTAAAAATAAATACAAAATTGAAGCATCCATAGCAGAGGCATACATTCTGGAGGTGTCAAACTTCACAACAAAATATTATGCTAACAACCTTTCTAGCGTGCATAATTCACCCTCTCGTTACAATGCTGGCGAAGATGAATCGAACCTTAGCATTTTCCGAGGGCAACTAGGAAGTGCAAGTGGTGCGATTAACAAGACCTTGAAACATGAAGAGTGACGCACTATTACGCTATATGTGTTGACCAACCTATCCAAAGTAGAGCCGTACATGCTGTAAGTTCTCAACAAACTTTTTCTCAAGTAGTCATAATTATGTGTCAAACTTCCTTGTTTCTCATTGGTACAGGAAATTTCATTAACAATTCTAGCGTGAATCAAGGGAACCTACCCCGTAGGAAACTTCGACCCTTCTTAGAGAGGGTGCGAGAAATGGAATGCCCGATTTTATTTCTTGGTTCAAACAGCAGGTACTGTCCAATTTGGCTCGTACTTAGTTTGACATTACAAGTTGCTCATACGTACGACTAATATAACGAACTACCCTGTTTGAACTTGTAGGGACAAACCGATGCATCTATGAGTGCCGAGTTGAGACAGGTTGCCGATGGTTGTGCCTATAGGGTCAGGTCATTTACCGGTTATAACGTGAATAAATATCGCTTTCACACAACAAGCCACGAGTAGAGTCGGTCCAATCGAAGAACCACAGCTACTGGAGAAACTGTGTTCGATAAAGAGTTAAAGACAGTACTAACTTAATGAAGATGACAAGAGAAACACTGAGAGGTCAGAAGCGGAAGAAGGACAAGTCAACAGTGTCGATGGTAATACAGAAGCTAATAATAATAACAATGAAGATGAAACCACCGGTCATGCAGAAGAAGGCAAGCATGATACTGAATCCAACTCTGCTGCTGAGAGTAAAAGTGAAGTCAATTCAACTGGAGATGATATGTCCCAAAACAATCATGCACAAGAGGAAAACACTGGGGTGGTAAGTGGAACGTCTCATGATGAAGTGGTGCAAGGTGATGAATCAACCAGTACAAGTGGAAGTGGGAATGGATCAGATGGAGAAGGTGAGAAAAAGGAGGCAGTTGATACTCAAAGTGGTTCTGGATCCCTTCCTGACGATGCCAAGGCCGAAGCAACCGATGACCATGCTACTGGCAGTCTTCCTGACGAAACAGGGAATATACCATCAGTTCATACTGATAATTCACAAAATGATGCCAGTGAAAACCAAGGTGATGCAACTTCCACTACCTCAGATTCATCTGAGCATGGCACCGGTGAGGCTGTCCATATTGAAACTGGATTGGAAGATGAAAGTGCAACAGCATCATCTGGGACTGGATCTGGTGATGACAAGGGTAACTCATCTGATAGCACCTCTGCAGAAGAAAATACTGAGACTGCATCTGGTGATGATGAGAAGGGCACAGAAACGGGTACAGCCACTGAAGCGTCATATTCCAAAGAAGAGAACTCTGAGAACAGCAGTGTCTCATCTGAGGCAGAGAACTCCCAAGGAGATTCTTCCAGTGGAGTGAATGGTTCTTCAGAAGAGACATCTAACAAGGGTGATGGAGCTACAGAAACGTCTAACAATGGTGAGCAGGTGGATCCCAAAATTGAAACTAGCACATCCACCAATGACGAGCACAATGAATCTCAAGGGGCTGCTGGCAGCTCTGGATCAAATGACTCGAATGGTAACGGCCCTGAACAAACCGGTAAAACTGAAAGCCAGTGATACCACCATCGAGACACGAACATTGTTTTAGTATACAGATTTGTTCCTGGAGATTGAAGAGGGGCTAGCTCACATAGAAAACTGTTCACATTGTGGCTTATCGTGATTTTAGTTGATACTGCCGAAGTACAATTGTGCGGATCACAAGATTGGTTCTCTGCTATGCTTATTGCTTATGGCATGATTTCTAGTCAAGTTGTACTAGAATGAGTCAGTATTGCTGCACGGTTATTAGTCTCTACATGGTACTCTGTTCCTGCATGTAAGTGCGGGCGAAACGCCCTTTGCCTGGTTTGATTACTGCCGGCAATGTACTGCTGGTGCCTGTGGGTTTGTACGCCCATGTTTTTCATTTACAGTTAATTTGTTTCTGCAACCATGTCATTATCATGCGCTTATATACGAACTTTCAGAGGCAGTTCATATTTGATGGCCATCCATTGTGGTAAGCAAATGGCTACCTGGTGAAGTGCTGTTGTGATTCTGCGAACTGAAAGTTGGCATAATTTCCCAAAGTTCATACTGGCTACTGGGTGGTGAAAGTGTACTGGCATCACCTGCCTCCATACTGGCTTCATAGAAGTCAAACCTGGTTCACACTCAGATAATGGAAGTCACTACTACGATGACTCCGAAATGCGAAACAGGTGCAAGTGGCCACAAGAACTAGCAGGCAGCAGCATCCAGCAGTCAAGCACACAGCCGGAAGAATGCAGGCGCCAGTCGATGCCGTAGTTTTTTTTTTCTTTAAGCCGATCGATGCCGTAGTTGCTGCTCTGTGAAAGTGAAATATGCCCCGGTTCGGTTTGGGCCTCCTACATGCCACGGCCTGGGGCGTCCGTCCACACACCGCGTCCCCACTTTGGCCCGTTCGTTTCGCTGAAAAAACAACCCAAAACACTGTTTCGACTGGAAAAATAAGCTGAAAAGTACGGATTATAAGACAAGCTGCTGACGTGCTTCCCCCGCCGCGCGCCCCATCCCGCGCCGCTCGTTCCTTGCCCCTTCCTGTCACACGGCCCTCGCTCCTTGCTCTAGCCGCGCCCCTGGTCCCTCTAGTGCGCCATGGACCGGTATCTCTCTCGTTCTTCGTTTCTCTCCCTTGCACCCGCCATGGTTTGGGAGAGCGGAGCTTCGAGTTACCACGCCACTATGCTGCTCGTGCCTTGCTGCGCCTCCTTGCTGCCGTCGAGGTCTGGCCACTCGGTGCTGCTGCTGGCTGGCCAGCAGCTGCGTAGGGGCCAACCATCGTGCGTGGCCAGGTGACCAGGAGAGGGGGCTATCGCAAGCTGGTCCTAGGCCAGGCGCATGCGTAGCTGGCTGCTACCAGGTTGCGCCACCATCCTCGGCTGCCGGTTGCCAGAACTGGCCGTTATCCTGCTCTGCTATGCGCCGTACAAAAGAAGAAGGGTAAAAAACGCATGTTGCAAGCGTATTTCAAGTGTTTTAAATGTTTCAGAGGTATGTTGCAAGTGTTTAATATGGATGTTAAACAAGTAGATCGGGATGTTGCATATGTTGCAATGTCTATACACATACGTAGCAAGCATCTATTTCAAATGTTTCATCTGTTTGTTTCGACATATGTTGCAAGTATGTCTATTTGGATATTGCATATGTTTCACACATATGTTGCAAGTGTTTTGTCTGGATGTTGCATATGTTTTGCAATGACTTTTTAAGTGTTTTCAGGTGTGTGTTTCAAGTGTTTCAGACACATGTTTCAAGTGTTTCAGCTGTCTTCAGAAGCATGTTGCAAATGTTACATCTGTATGTTTCAAAAGTAGATCGGGTATTACACATGTTGCAATGGCGCCGGTGGCTGGTGAACAGCAGCCTACTGCAGGGCTTCGGCTACTACCTCGTGCGGCGCACCTCGCCCTCTCATCTCCTTCCCTTCCCTTCCCTCAGATCTTGTCATGACAGTTCGAGCTCGACCTGGACATGGGGTTTGGTGGTGCCGGAGTGGGATGGGACGCGAGGCGGGGGCGTGGTGCGATGCGGGCGGCGGGGGCGTGGTGCGATGCGGGCGGTGGTGCTGCGTTCGGGACGCGGGGTGCTGGCGCAAGATGAATGCGGGCGGGGCTCATTTATTTCCTTATTTTTGGGCGGGGGAGCGGGAGGTGTGTCCGGACACGCCATCCATCTGAACGTCCGGGCGCTAGCCCATCTGCAAAAATATTCACGAGTCAGCCTGTGTCGTACAATTATCAATTAAATTCGTGCTAGGAATGGGCTACTATTTTGCCACTTTCAGTCTAGAAAGAGTATCTAATAACAAAAGCTAGGTACCATAATATAGAGCATGATTTTAGAAAAGGTATGAAATTAGTTTCTTAATTTTTGAGCTATAACCATTTTTAAAGATTAAATCAGATTTTAGTATTTTAATCGTGATTTCTTTTGAAATATTATTTCTATGTTTTTATAGTCTTATTATTTCTGAACTATTAATGTAGGGTGATTTACCTCTCTCGTTGCTGATGTGGTACCATGTAGGATGACTAATGTGAATTTGTGATGCCATGTATGCCAAAACCAAACCACTCTTCTTATTTTAGAGGCGGCCACAAGTATAACTGCCTCCATAAATGCCTCCAGCATGTCAAAACGGAGCCTAGTCCATTGTAAACCCTCCCCACACCATGCACGGAGCCGTCCCAAACTTCTCTCTCAGCCATGGAAGCCTTCTCTCTCTCGTTCACCCTAGATCGATATTTGAGACAATTCCCTGTGAGCCATTATAAAAGATGCAACTAAAATTCATCTTCCCTCTCAACCATCACTTGGATTTCTTCGACCCCTATACGCCACTGTCGTCAAAACGGTAGCTAATAGATGGTTGAAATGCTCTCTTTTGCCCCTCTTACAGGTGGCCCCCATGCGTCAGCCTCCTCCTTCCTCCATGGCCATGGTAGCCAGCTGCACTGTTGCGCACACGCGCGGAGGGAAAGAGAGCTTAGCCAAGCTGTAGAGCTAACAAAAGTTGTAGAGCTCGAGAAGATATAAAACTTTATCATTGATGTTATGTTTATCTAAGGTCATTTAGAGCCCCAAAAATATGTTTTATGTTCTCATGTTTTTTTTATTTTTCAAATGGAGGCATGTCCCATACCAAAGCACCAAAGCTATAGTGATCGACCACGTAAACTTGTAGTTGAAAGTTTTTTCATTTTAGATCATTTGGGGCCAAAATATTAAGTATAAAATTCTAGAATAAGACAATGATAGCATGCATGTTATACCACACGTGAGGGCGCAAGTCATGGGTTTGAATCGTCTTAAGAAATAATGCATGTGCGTATTTCACACAAAAAATCGTGCGACTAGTGAGTTAGTAGTGACTTGCGATCATGATACTTAGCTAGTAGGTTGTTTTTTAGATTAAATCTTTTTACTATTTTTATGTCTTGTTAAATTTAAAATTTCTAGGAAATGATTTCCAAGGCAGTTGGTATTTCCAAGGTCGTCAAAAAACCAACCGCCCCTGTAAATTGACTGGAGCAGTTGAACACCTCCTCCTGATAAAAATCATCGCTCGAGTAGTGGTGAACCGCCTCTAAAAACCATTTTCACCCTCTCTACAAATGTTCTGCATAGTAGCGTAAAGTTCGAGCATTTATCTAATAAAAGTTTAGAAAAATTTGTGGATTTGAGGACCGTAGCAAAATTCACATGGCCCCATAATATAAAACAAGATGTCCATATCATCAATACAAGGGGTAACGACGCTACATAGATGCCGAACATATAGATGTCACTGATGACATAACATGAACTACCCACGTCCATTTCACATAATATATACAGTGCCCTGATGCTTAAGGCAATGGGGAAAAAAATCCATGACTACCGTGACGCGATGTGTTGATCAGTAGTTTCAATTGCGCGTAGACCTAATCAGTTTTGCATGTGACTTGCAAACTTTATGCACTTACTGCTCTCGGACAAGTTGATAAGCTATAGGCTATAGCCCTGCTTTTCTGATAGCGATAAATTAAATGATGACTAGGAGTATATATAGCCCAGCTCTAGAGAAAAAGGCTGATAAGTCATGCGTGTATGGTATGATAAGCTGGTAGCTTTTGTGAAAAGGAGGTATGCTTAGAGCTGATCACGTACTTATCGCTCGATCCCATTTCTCCTTTTCATTTTTCTCTCGAAGCTTCTGATGAGAAATTAATTGTTGCTACTTACTAAGGAGAGTTCTAGCTAGATAGCAAATTTTGGAGTCCTGGATACATGCATGCCTCAATAGACAATTACTGGCCAGTGATTCATGCATGCATGAAGCGGCTGTGAGCTCACATTGCAAATCAATATTTAGAGTGTTCTTGAATTTTTTCTCAAATTGCAAACTGACATAAGATTTCTTGATGAACACTAAAATTATAGGCAAAGACCAATGAATTAAGGGACTACCAAAGACAAAGAACCATATAATTAACTATATATTATTTGCGGATGCAAAACGCCGGAACTATATATTCCTTTATTATCTGTATATATATCTTGTCGGACAGACAATATCTGGCAGGAGCCGGACATTGATTCTCAAATCTCTACTCACTTACCTTATAATCCGGCTTATTCGGCTTCTTTTTTTAGCCGGAACAGTATTTTTCTCTCACAACAATTCAATCGGAACAATATTTTTCAGCCAATTTCAACCAAACGAACAGAGCCTAAGAACTGCGACGTCCTGATATAAGTCTAGAAAGCCCACTTCGAGACGTCTCTCAGGCGGCCATGGCGAGCTGCTCGTGAACCACTATGCTTTCCAGCTTGTCGTCCATGCTGGGGACGGAACATGGTCATGGACGCATGCCAACCTCAGTGATGTTGATTATCTGAAAAATTAATTATACAACATGTGATAGATGTAATAAATACATTAATTTGTGTTGTGTGTGTAGCTCCAAGACGAGACATGCATGTACTAAATCGCAGCTGACTAGGCCTTAAATAATTAACTTGTTTTTATCATTAACTTGTTAATC